ACCTTTAAAATCATTGAGGTCAACCATCAAGCTAATACTGCCAAGTCCACCACTAAACCTTATTCATAAGCACCTCATCTACACATACTTTAAAACCCTCCAGGGATGGACATTCGACACTTGTCCAATCTGTTAGAATGTTTTGTGGGTCTCTGAGCATTTCCCTTTGGATTATGTGGGCTTTATTCTGCAACTCTCTGTCTCACAGATCAGGAGGCTGGGTACCCTGAGAACAGCTGGTGCAACTATTAAAAATTTCGACAAAGAAGACCCCAGTCTTTTCTTCATGCTTTGTCACTGTGTTTCCCCCTTCATGTGAAAAAGGCTGGGTACTCTCTTTATCCCACCTTTGTTGTTAATACATGTGGTATTTAATACCACAAATATATTCATTGAAACTTTTTTTTGCCTTTTACAGCAGCAGATAGGTGAAGAACCAGTTGGGCTTTGGCTCTTCTAAGTTTCTCCCTGCATGACCTCACGACATTTCTATACTCTTCCTGGGTAGCCTGCCTGGTCTTTCATAGACCATAAATTCTCTTGTTTTTTGATGGAGTTCAGCTCTCTGTTCTGTCAGGCTTCTTCCCTGCTGGTCCAAATTTCAGGGTTCAATTGAACCCTGCTGGTTCAATTTTCTGGTGACAGCCTGGTCCTGCACTTCTAGGATTTCATTCCTGTAGAATGTCCAGTGTTCCTGGGCTCATCTGCAAACCACAACTGCCTCCCAAGAGACTTTCTCAACTTCTAAACAGGCCCAAGTCTGCCCTCCACAAGTTCAAGGTACATGTTCTTCTTGCCAACCTTCCTTACTTCTCTGAGAATTAAAAGCCCTGTCATTTTGTCATCACAGTGGCCCAGAGAGCCTTCAACCATCATATCCCCTCACCCACCGGTCCTTCTCTGGTCACAAACAACAGTTCCAGTAGGGTGACCTACCTTGTTGACATCCTGACCAGCTGTGTCAGGGCATTATCATCCAGGGTACACACTCCAGGAACCTCCTGGACTGGCTCCTCTCCACTCTGTTGCTTTTCCAGCAGGCATCTGGTAGGTTGAAATCCCCACAAGAACAATGGCAGTGTTTGTGAGAGTTCTCCCTGTTGTTTCTACACTATTTTGCCTGTCTTTTCTTCCTGTTTTGGTGGTCTATAGCAGACATTGACCATGGTATTTGTCTTTCAAATAAAAACATGAAGAGTGAAAAAGAAGAAGAAAATCTGCAAAAGAAAGAATCCATTAGTGGTGATTTTGTGATCACCAATACTAGCGTATCTGAAAGCAATTTATCTGACATATTTGACAAATTCTTTGCTATTATATGCTTGCATGTAAATTAAACTTTATTTTTTAAATAGTATTGGGTAAATACTGGGAATGAATTATTTATTTGTCAATTCACCTTTCATCAGAACTGACTACTGTAGAGTTCATTAAATTATCATGTGAATCATTTTTACAAGAATTCTCTTGCTATTAATAGCACACGGGCCATTTTTGTACCTGCAAGAAAACTTGCTTATTATTCATAGTCCAAGAAACATTTGTATTTAAAAATGGGTACAATGATCAACAGAGCTTAGTCGTTAGTGTGATGCAGTTTTCTAGGTCTTTATCCAGCAGTTCTCAAAGAAGAGGTTGATCTGTTTGCTCACCATTAAATACTTTGCCAGTCTAACGGCAGTTCTGAAAGGAAAACAATAGAGATATTTTTCAATGAGACTTATGGTACTGGGGTAGAAAACTGTTAAGAAGAACTGTTATGTGCAATTGAATGGAAGGACAAGGAGTGATGTGCTCTTTCTAAATCTCTGAATCTGTGTTTTGAGCTCTATGACTTCTTAACAAATAGCAAATAACAAAGTGACAACTTGCAAATGCTTTCTCACACAGACACTACCTATTTTTAGTCTGGATGTTGCTCAAGTTTGAAAGGGAAGACATGGTATTTCAGAAGAACACCATCCTACCTTGTATATTTAGTATTCTGTAAGGGATTTTTGTCTTAATTATCTCTATCTTCCGTGTATGCTTTTGCATTTCAAGCCCCTTTGGCTAGTGAATCTACAAATAAACAATAGCTTCTATCTGAAGCCAGAGGTTTCTGAATGCCTCACAAATGTGTTTTCATCCCAGCTGTCACACTGTGCAGTTGCTAAAATCTGTTGTGACAAATCACAGCTCTGAAGGTAGATTAGCAGACATTTATCATCTTTGTTTGTAACAAAGAAAATGCAAATGTATCTTAGCTTATTGTTTGTTTCACTGAATCCCACTCTCCTAAGGTGCACCCCTTAAATCTCCATTTGGTTTCACCTTTCTCAGAATTGCACAGAACAAACATGAACTGAGAGTATACATAAATACGCATTCTCTCTTGCTCTGTCTATTTCTGATGGGGTTTATTACATAAGTTGAAGAATAACTGAGAAGATCATTATTTGTCATTCTTTTGATTGATATTCATGCTATTCTCCCACATATAAACAGTATGTGCAGTAGCAAAAGGGTCCTGATATTTTCTTAGTGTTGTTCTTGCATATATTCCTACATATTTACGAAAAAAAATTAAGGCTGAAAGTATGCATCCTTCTATTTTACATGAAAATTCTGATTCTTACTGAGTGAGATAATTATTTCATGATTTTGGGCCAAGCTCAATGGAGTTTTGCCTCCTGTTGGTATTAGGCTGTGTCTCATTACAGAATGTGTTATTCAGGAGACAGATATCACTCATGATCATTAGGGTTAGGGTCAGGTCAGTGGGTTTTTTAATCTTCTAAAAAATATTCAGACTCCATACAATTTATCTGTATATATATAAGATATAAAAAAAAGTACTTAGTTTTTGTACATACTAACAAGATACATAATTTTTGTGACCCCTAAGGAAGTAGTGCAGGGACTTCTCTCTGTTATCTATGAGTAATATGTTTACATCCACTTACTTGGTTAGGATAATGAAGAGACAACAGAAATGAATAAGTGATGAGATATGAAAGCTTCAGCTTGTTTGAATAATTTATGTTTAAGAAAGTTAAACTCCTTCCCATTTTTAGAATGAATGTTCTTCTCAAGTCAAACCCACAGTTTTCACGGGCTTTCCATCTGCACAGGCAGACATATCAAGAGAAGAATATAGTTTTACATATCAAATTGTTTTCTACAAGTGATGATGAGCCATATAATTTACAAACACAGTAACAATAAACAGCCCACCATACCAGAAGCAAAGTTAACATTGTATCCTGTGGGAAAATAGCATTTGCATTTCCCTTAAAACAAAAGATGAAGTCTTCCTACTGAAAAATTAGTAGCAGTTCTGCTTTTAATTTTACTTGAAATTCACTCCTGTGCATGCCACCATGCATTTCACAAAGTGTTGGTGGGCAACAAGGAGGCAGTTGCTTTCAAACTTTCAATACAAAAATGTTGAGAATCAAATTCTGTTCCTTCCCTATAAATACGGAAGGACTCACCTGGAGGCACTGAATTATTAAGGGTTATTATAATACCAGCAGTATTTCAGAGAAGACAAGGCTTCAGGATATCCTAATTGGACCCTCCAGTACCTGAAGGGATCCTGTAAGAAAAATTGAGAGAGACTTTTTACAATAGCGTATCGTGATAGAACAAGGGGAATGGCTTCAAACTGAAAGAAGACAGGTTTAAATTAGATATTAAGAAGAAATTCTTACCTGTGAAGATGGTGAGGCACTGGAACAGGTAACTGAAGAATGTCATGCCATCCATGGCAGTGTTCAAGGCCAGATTGGATGGATCTGTGAGAAGTCTGGTCTAGTGAAGATGTCTCTGTCCATATCAGTTATCAACTGAACTTTCAGGTCCCTTCAAACCTAAAGCATTCTATGACTCTATGAAGAAATGTACAAAGGAAAAGAGAAAACAGAGAACAAGCTGTAAACAAGCATAAACAAGTGTAACAGCCAACCCTGTACTTCATAACAGTACATAAAGATATATTAAAATAAACAATATGGCTATGGCACTGAATTTTCATAAGTGGTGAAATATCATTTCTGTATTCATTTTTCCCTTATTAATATCTCTTTAAAACTGTTTTAAGGTTTGGCTGTTTGCTTCCAGTTTGGCAGCTCCCAGATGGTATATAAATATGCATTTATCTTTGAAATTCACTTAAAAATTCAAACCATGACATATATGCTTTTTAAGTATGTCACCTGAAGGTATTTTCTTCACTGGAAAAAATAAAATCCACAAGCACTTGTCCTGATGTAGAACATTTGACAGCTTCCATACGTAGTGAACAGGTAAAGATAGTAAAAGATGACTTGAAAACTGATACCAAAAGTGATACATATTTTGAGTTACTTTAAATTTTATAAAACCAAGTTGAAGCTTCTTTTTTTTTTTTTTTTTTTTTTTACCTTCAGACAACATTTGTTTTACCATGAGAAAAAAATGAATATTATATGAATGCATATGCTTTTCATAAAAAATTAAGTAAAAAGCCAGCATGGGCTTAGGTATTCATGTAGCCCACCTGAGCAGAATATGTTTTGAATTGTGTGTAAAAAAAACCTATTGACATTTAGTTGCTTCTTGGTTACCTAAATCATGGGAGGTAAGACTTAGAGAAATACATATTACACTTTGGGAAAATGATTAGTATTTTTCCATTAGAAGCAATGTATTTTGACACTTGACAGTAGATTGTCATGATTTTGTAATGATTGAAGTCAAGATTTCACACTGGTCCTGTGACTGACACATTGACAATTACCTTGAAACATTGAATGAAATAAATAGTACATAGAATTTTCAAGGAAATATTTGCCCAAAAAATTCATCCAAACTGATGAACGTTTTCTCTAGAGTTGCCCAATATATAGTGCAATTTGAGAAAAACACTTGCTAGAGAAGCTGCTTGTATTTGAAGTTTTTGATGACCGCTGCTATGGGCTTGTTCAAACTTTAGCTGTTACTCTATTGCTTAATCTATGACCTGTATCTCCTTTTAGGATCGGTGGAGCCATGCCAACAGTCTTCTCCTATTTTTCGGAAGTGCTTGCTCGGGAGAAACGAGGTGAACACCTGAGCTGGCTCTGCATGTTTTGGATGATTGGTGGCATCTACGCTTCTGCAATGGCTTGGGCAATAATTCCTCATTATGGTAAGAAAAACCATAGAAGAAAGAAAAATCTCCTTGTGATTTGGAAGTATTCCAGTATGAAAGTAAAGAGCTTGAAGCTTGATAGCTTAAAGAAGAGTCTTCATGTCTGTTTTTGAACTACTGACCTAACTGATAAAAAGAAATTGATTCCTTTTGGAGGATATAGTGGGAATAGGTTGTATGTCAAATAATAAATAATTTATTACAAGATGCAAAATTTCACTAATATCCATATTTAGTTAATTTTTTTAAATTACTGAAAACCTGTACACATGAAAATTTAATTGGTGTCATTGTTAAATATGGAGAAAAGAAAGTAAGAAAGAACTTTCTTAATGTTTGCAGTGCTGAAATCTGAAATTAGTCTGAAAATAAAGCTGTACTGAATGTTTCTTAGTATTTTTAGTGGTGTGAAAACAGATAAATGGAACACAGTGCATTTAAATGCCGTAGGGATTTAATGAGGGCAATGGCTGAAGTTATACTCACATAAAATATAAGCAACTTTGTCAAAGAGCTCTTAAATTGCCCTGACATAGTTAAACATAATATAGAGGTATAGATTCAATTCTTTGTCTCTTGTGCTTGCATTTTACAAGAGTTAAGTGCTCTCAGGTCTCTGGGGTTGCTCAGACTGCTCAGGGGTTCTTAAAAATCAGCTTCTTAAGCAGTTCTCTCTGGCAGGCCTCAAGTGAAGTAAAGCAGTACTGTGAGCTGTCATCCAAAGCAGCTTCCTTTAGCCAAGCAATGAGGTTTATCAAAGCTATATTGTGAAGGTTTGCTTGAAGTGATGGGAACATTTAGCAAGTGATAATGTCCAGAAATAATTGTAATAATGCAGACTAATCAAATACCTAAACTGTTGCATTGAAATTATTTTATGGTCCAGTACACCAAACCTGAATTTTTGCCTTCAGCCTTGCCTTTTGACTTGAAACTGCTGGAAGCAAAGAGAGGAATTTGTGCTGACAAGGCACAATATTGATTTTTTTTTCTCAAAGTAGTAAATTGCTCTGGATGCCAAGTACTTTTTTTTCTCTCTTATGGACTTTTATTTTCTTTATCTTTCAGTGGAAAATGCAAACATTATGACAGACTGCTTTACATAGGTTGTCTAATTTAATGTAAATTTTATCAACAATTTTATATCCTTTACTGCGGTGCTTTTAGAACATCACATGATAGTATATTTTAATATAGTACACTTACTCCAAACCAGCTTCACTACAGGGAAAACATTTCTTCTTTGTTTAGCTGTGGAAGAATATCAGCAACAAAAAGGAGTGCTGCACTGTGGTTTTTTGTTCTTGTTTTTGTTGTTGCTTTTTTCACCTACAAAATTATTTGTTAAATATTATAAGACAAGAGAAAGTGAAAAACAATTTCAAAACATAGTATGCTTTAGTGCTAGACATACAAATCACTACTTCAGTTTATTAAGATAAGTTAAAATTATCAAAAAGGGGCCAGAAAAATCAAGCTATCAAAAGAATACTTTTTCGGAGTAAAAGAAGTAAGTTTGTACATCATTTTGGCAGAATTAAACAGAACATATTTATGGTTTTGATGAGGTCTTCAAATGCCTTTACTTTTTGTTATTTTGAAGTCTAAAACCTAGTCTTAGTTCCTAGTACTAGTGTGAAATCTCTCCAGTTCAGATAAACTCTTTTATAATGCTGTGCCAAGCTCTCAGACGTTACCAAGGGCTCCCAGGGCAAACCCTGCTCCAGCCTTTGAGGAGTGTGGTCACACATTGCTGTCCCCACCCAGAAACATTCCAGGTCAAGAAAATTCCATTTGTATCACATGCAATTACAGGGAGGCTCTTACAGTATTTTCTCTTTACTATTTCTAAATTATTTCTACATAGATTTATTTTACCAGAATTAAGCAGAGAGAGAGATTTTCCTCCAAATCCCTTTCTGTACTTCTCATCATTCACATTTCAGTGACCAGGAAGCAAAAACATAATTATAAACTACCCACCCACTTTAAACTGCATTTTTATTTGTGCATGGGTATTTCTGTGTTCTCTGCTTCTCACTTGAGGACCTGACGATGTTTGGTTTTCTCAGTGGGACTCAAAAGTTACTCAATAGCAGTGAATGAAGCTCCATCTGTAAAAAAAGCAATTAATGTCATTGAGCATGGTGGAATTATCCTTTTATTAATATAAAGATATCAGGCCAACACAGTAGAATGCTTCTGAATATTCTTGTCTTCCCTTGTTTACCAATGTATTCCTTTATTTGTATTCCTTCTCATACAAGCCACTTTGAAAAAGTCCTAGATTCGTAAGTATATATTATCTAGCCCAAAGCAGATAGTGAAGCTATGTATGCATGTTTGCCCTTTGAACACTTAGCTATATCCGTCTGGGAGAAAACACAGATTACTCTCTGTATGTAACAGTTTATCTCTGTTGTTGTCCAAGCAGCATAGCAGAATCTGAAACAGGAGCAATGCCCTGGAACACAAAATAAAGTGCTGGTAACTGTTGTTTTGACATCAGCATGTTGTTAAATGAGGGATAAGTGTGATGCAGTGATGCAGACACCACATATGGAAAGGTTAATATCATCTGTAAGATGAGCATCTCTGTATCAAGGTTTTTTGATTTATATATCTGTTGGCCAATGTTTAAAAACTGAGTTTGTGTAGACTTGTTCAAGGTCTCCTAAACTGGAGCTCAGGCTGTGAAGGAGAAGAAACATCAGCAGAGAAATGCTTCTAATTGCAACTAATTTTAAAAGTCCCAGATTAGACTGCTAAAAAGAAATTCCTCTCTACAGTGCTCATATCAGGCTAGATAGGAGAAATAACAATCATTCTGTAAATACTTCTGCAAGTGCAATTTTAATTTTAGCATCCTGTTTCAAGGTAGAGTAGTTCAAAGATGTCAAAAACTTCATGTAAAACTGTGTATTACAATAGCGTTCAAAAATGTTTGATTTTCAAATAGTGAAGATTCCTAAGAAAGATAATTTTTAGTTTAAAACCCAGACACTGATACCTTACAAAATTTTCACACCAAATTTATTTTTTAGTTTGAGAATAGGAATTAAAACAAATTATGAAAATTGTTTTATCAGTTATTAAAAAGAAAAAAATCTGTGCCATGATTGCAAATATCTGTCTCAATTTTTGTCGTAACATATCTCCAAACTAAGCATCAGGGAAGCTAGATAAGGATTTCAGTGTCCTTAGCCTATCAGTTTTGATAATCTGTCTAATTTAGTGTGTTTTGCCTGTAAGAGTCATACAAGCCTTTTCTGGCTTTATGGACTAAAGGGAAATATTTTGAAATTTGCAACATTCCCTAGCGTATTTTACTTAGTCATAAAAAATATTGACCTCATTGGTTCTTAAATCTTATTCTTGAACAAGGAGTTCTTGACCAAAAAGAAATTAGATTGCAAGGCAGAGAACAGGATAGTGCAGGTATCCAGGCTGTTACAGCATAAGCTGCAAGTGGAACCTGAAGCTTTTTCCAGACTCTCACACCTCATTTCTGGTATTAACCATAGAAGAGATGAGATAGCCATGTCAAATTACAGTAGTGAACAAATCTCCACTGTATGGCCAGAGACAGAGACTTTACCTCATAAGCATGCATAAGATTCCAATTCAATTAGGCTCCATTATTCCCTAAACCACTTCAAATTTAATAATACAGAATCAAGGAAATAAGAAAATTACTTCTTTCTAACACATTCAGTACAAATCAGATGTAAGTTTAAACATTCTTTCAGAACAGTGTAATCACATTGCAATGACAGACCTTCACCTAAAGTATTCATTTTTCATCACTTTTTTCCTACTAAATTGAGGACCACTTACTGGTGTTCATAAGAGAGGTATTTAGCACTATTCAGGAAACAAACTTGGAGTAAAAAAGTGTGGAATAAGAAGTCTAAGGAAATGGCATTCCATTTCAGAAGTGAAGATTTCCTGCCTAGGCGTAATGTGTCTCTCTGGTTGTTAAGTGGGAATGTATTAAGATGCTCTCTATTCCAGCAGTTTTCTATTTCATCAGCAAACAACTGGTGCTCTATTCTGTGACTAAAAGTCACAGTTACAAATTATGAACTTGTCACTAGTCACAAATTATATTTCTTCTTCAGTCATTAGAGTTTTACTAGGAAAAGCTATTTTTTTCTGAATGTGGCTTTTTGAGAGAGGAAGTTCTTTACAGTAACAGAACTTAAAAATACAGACATAGAAGTGTCGAAATAATGCACTCACTCTTGACTTGCAAAGCACTGTATTTAAAATATTAACAATAACTTATGTTTTGAGAATTTTAAATTATGTCTTCTATTGAAAATTTTTATATTCATTTCCTGGTCTATAAAATATATCCACTTCTATTATCTCTGAAGGTTTTTGCTTTTTACTTTTCTCCTGTCAATATGATTAAATGAGTTTAAAAGGCAGAAACGGGGACTTAATTTAGACAGGATAGAATATAAGTTTTAAATACAGTTATTATATAGTACTAATATGAACTGGCAAATATACTTACAGAATCTTCATTCACTGGATGTTGTCAAGGGCACATGAAACTACAGACTGTCCGTAACAGTTTAGAAGTGTGCTGAATTCACTTGACCTACCAAAGGAGACCTGTCGACTGTTCTTAATTCTACTTTCCATAACTAGATAAGTCTTCTTTTAGGCCCAGGAGTCCATAATGGCTTGTATCTGAGTGTAAATCTGAGGACAATGGACCAATCTGTTTCTCTTTTCAGTAAGAACTGGCTTGCAAATTGGCCTGAAAAATATTTCTCAGTTTGTAGCGGAAGATTGTGTGGTAAAGCAATTAAATTCATCTGAATTTACTCTATTGGCAATGAAAGTGATACTTTTATCACCCTTTATCATGGTGGCTTGAGAACATCTTTTTTTGCACTTTCCATGTCTTGTTTGCTCAATTTTTGTGTCATCCACTGAAGATAAAAAAGATAACTTCCTTCTGAACGAAGGCATCATGAGCTGTA